CTCTTCCAATTGGCATGCCATTGTTGACTAAACATAAACCAACATTTTCAGTATGCCATTGTTGACTAAACATAAACCAACATTTTCAGCTTTAGATGGGCTCACCGGTCTTCTGAAGATTAAGCCCAGGGTTGATCTAATTGAGGCCCTGATACCATTTTGGGACCCGACACACAATGCTTTCCACTTCCCCGACTTTGAATTGACCCCTACACTGGAGGAGATAGCAGGTTACACTGGTTTTGACGGGAGTCTTAGGCACCAATATCCAGTAGCACCCAGAACTGTGACCCCTCATAAATTTTTGGACCTTCTAAGCATCAATCGGCAAGTTAAAAATGACAATTTGGTCGAAGGTTTCTGTACATTCCACTTCTTGTATAGCTGATATGGGGACCCACACGGATTTGAGGCTCCAGACACTGGCTTGAGTCACCAGGGAAAGAAAAACAAGTGGGAAACACTCAGAGGTTTAGCCTTCGTAGTCGCATCCCTAGGCACACTGATATGCCCGAGGAGTGACAGACACATAGAATTGGGACGTGCAGGAATGGCTGACTTTATGGTCAAGAAGGTCAACGGTACTCTTATACCGATGATTCTCGTGGAAGTCTATCAAGCTTTAACTGCCTGTCGAGCTGGTGCAAAAATTCTTTGAAGGTTGTAATCTGCTTTTGCAAATGTGGCTGGTGGAACATCTCTATTTCGCCAGAGGTACATGAACTACGGATTAACCGAACTCAGTTGCATTGAAGAGTACGAAAACAGGATAAACAACTATGAGTTGCCGGAGGGTACTGAAGCATGGTTCACATATCTGGGTTCTTTAACCGCAAAGCAAATTAAATGGACTTTCAGTTGGCTCCCGGTTAACGAGGTTATCTACAAGTCTGCCGAAGTGTGCTTTCTCTTATTAATGGGTCTTCGGAGTATTTACGCCAATTAGGAAGGTATCAAACAGTCCTTCATGGCGAAGATCTGAGCGCACAGGTTATTGAGGTAAGCTCAGGGGCTGTATTCCCGGAAGAAAAGGTTCGCCGGGTTTGGCACCAATGTAGGTTTCTGGAGCCGCAGACTCAGCTGCAGGATTTATCTTTTGGTGAGGTAGAGTCTAAAAAACACGACATCGTATGGCAAGAGAGCCTGGGTCGATCAAGAGCCAGAGCAGCCCGTCAAAAGGCCCCATGTCCAACAATTCACTGACGGAGCACAAGAACAGTAGGTCTTGTTAGCTAAAGAGTACGAATACCGGGCCATCATACCGGGCTAAAGAGTAGGGAAAACGAAGCCCTCCGAGCTCAGACCTGGAAAATGAAAATAGCCGCCGAAATGCTAACAAGAAGTGAGAGGGATGAAAGGATCATAAGCAACCTAAGGCGAAAAGTGCATGATTATGCGGCCGATCTGGCAAAGGCCGAGGAAGACTTGGCAAAAGCTCGAGCAAAGTTGGTGATACGTGCAGAAGAAAAGGCAAGGTCAGCCCACCAATTAAAGCAAAGATATGATAGAGAAGTCACGATATTAAGGAAAAAGCTGGCCGCCCTCAAAAATGAAATGGTTCAGTAGACAAAGGACTTCAAAACAGAAAGAAAACATTGTTATGCACTGATTTACCAATTGGAAGAGAGCATGCAGAAGTTGCAAGACTAAAACAACACAACCATGCAGGTGCTGGAAGCCTGTGCACAGCAAATTGGACGCTTGCTACAAGAAAAGGGTGCCATTAAAATGAGAATCAAAGAAATAGCCGATTACGCTGCAATGAAATGCAATGAATGTGGGGGTATGACCAGTTCTATGTTTTTTGCTTCAGTGTTGTCCTTCACTCGCCAGGTGATGGCCGATCTAGAGCTCCTTCAGGAAGAGATTGCACGCAGGCGCGCGCCGAGACCGGCTGATGTCCCGCGTGCCTCAGGAATAACATTTGAGGCCCTTCTGTATTCATGATTTTTCAGCTTTTGAGTATGTATTTTACTTTTTCTCGAGTCTGTTTGTCCTTTCATCCATGTCGAGTCTGTTTGTTGTTTTGTTTTGAGTCTGTATGTTTCCCTTTTCTTCGTCATCAATATCATCGAGTCCTTGTAACAGAAAAACCAAAAAGATTTTTATTAATGAAATATTGAAAACCCCCAAAAAAATTTCTTTACTTTCATTTTGCATTTATTCCCCTAAACTACGTAATGGTCCGATTCATGTTGTGTCATGATACGTAGGCAATCCCCATCATTTTGCATGCGGTATCATGATATGTAGGCAATCCCCATCGTAGGGATCTGTTGAGCGTATGAGTCTCGAGTAACACGAGTTATGTCTGGCTGAAATTGCGGGCCCTGGAAGGTGAATGTTGAAGGCTCAAAGCATGGCCTGGGCACGGTTGGTTGTGCCATAGTGGTGCGGTGAACAACGTTGAAGGTACCCCTGAAAATGGTGCCTAGGGGCCGACCTCAGAAGACATACCGGTAAAGTCGGATGACATAGTAGGGTACTCAAACGGGACAAATGGGTTGGTCATGGGGATGTTGGTGATTCCACCCGTCCTGGGGATCAGCTCGGAAAAATCAGGATCGTACTTGGTAGTTCTCTACCATTGGACCAGGCATCCCACATTTTCAATATGCGGAGACGCATCCTTTTGTTTTCTTCAACAGTGCCCGATTTAGGTTGTGACACAACGAGTGTACCATTATCCTCAGGATCGATAATGAGGAGACTGCTTGCTGAAGACATTGAGACTCTTCCTTTTGATATCCGATTTCTTGCTCGCTTGACTAGGGAAAGAAAGATTAAAAGATAGGAATTGTTCTAGTTGAAGAATTAAGGAATATTGATACTATCTTTATGTACTAAAATGAAAAATGGTGACAGAACATACCTTTGAGCCACCACTTTACAAACTTTGTGACTTTTATCATGCTCGAATTTTTGGATTTTGATTGGTTTCCTTAGATATATACTTGTCCATTTAGTTTTCGTCACCTTGTTATATTCAAATCAATATTCTAAAGTTTCAAATTTCCACCCTCAACAAAAAAGCATTATTCTAAGATAGGATCACTCCTCTCCCACCACCCTAATATATTACATGCAAAAGTTTTAGTGTTCTATTTACCATCCTAAATTATTTCAAGGGAACAAGATGTATCAATAAATTTTTTTAATACAAGATAACATGAGTTTTGACTTTTGAGTCAACACTTTTTTTTGCTTTATGCATTCATCGATATTCAAAAACATTAGTTCGATTAGTCTGAATTCGCGTCAATTATGGCCTACTAAAGAGGAAGCACTTCCAATCACGTCCAATCCTAGGTTACAAGTTCGAGACATCTAATTAAGATGAAGGGTTCTCATTCATTCCATACTGAAACAACAATTTTCACTTTTTAACAGCTAGAAGCTAAGGATTAGGAAAAGACCATATAGAAATATTTTAAATTACGATGCTACTCTTCCGGCAAGAACAATTTTTTCTATTATAGTTTTTTGGCGAGTTCCGGAAAGAAAACATTTTCCTTCATACCAAACGCACCCAAAGTTGTCAATAAATGAAAGTATCCTCATTTTCACAAATTTGACTGCAACAATAAGTAATAGCAACCATATGCACTGGAAAATGCTACTTTATGTATGGAGCTTTCTGTCATCAACCAGGTTTTAGCCCTCAGAGGATCTTACCATGGCGACACTTTGGGTGCTATGGAAGCACAGGCACCATCACCTTATACTGGATTTTACCAGCAACCATGGTATGGCCTTATCTTTGTGAAAGCATTTAATTATTTCTTTTGGGGGTGAATTCTCATCGATGTAAAAGCATTTTTTTTATTCTTTTGGGAGGTCAAATTTTCATTGCCATTAGATATCATTGGTCCATAACTAAAGAGGATAAGTTAATAATTTTTGTGGGTGACAATCTTTCTGCATGATAATCGAGGCTCTAGAAAAATGGAGCTCTTTTCTTTTGGGCTTCTTTTTCATTTATATAAATCATGCATTTATTGATGGTACTTATATTTTGTCTTTAATTGTCTTTATATCAGTTTTTTTTTATGAAGTAATAGATGATCTTGCTATAATCTTGTTTTTAAGTGTGTGTCTCACACACAAGTATGATTCTCTATGAAGAGAAATTGATCATCTGTACACAAGTGTTTTCCACCCCTACAAAGCTCTTCAGTTTTTCTTTTCGTATAGCCCAGATGAGCTCAAGAGAGCCACTTCCATGCCCTGTCTTGCCTCGCCTCATTTCCTATAAAATGCCCAAATAGGAAACATACTTTTGACTGGCCGGTATCACCCAGTTGACTCTAAAAGGATTTCGTACTATGCACCAGGGGTGATACAATTCCTGCCCGTGAAGGAAGATATGGTTCACGTCAATGTTTTTTCACCCACTTATAGTTTTCTTTGATAAGCCAAATGTTATATGGTATAAATTGTAGATATGGAGTCAAAAGATCCACTTAATTCTGAATAGCTCTTGTTACATGCAGCTCTCTAATTCTAATCATCACAAATCTACTGAATATTGATTTGATATTTCATTATTTCTTGACCTTGAAAGATGTTCATAGTACTGTCTACATGTCTGACATGATCCCCTTGAAGTCATTTGTTGCTCATGATAAAGTGCCAAAACCAAGAGCGATGTGAAGTTCATAATTATCATCCTGATTTTTTGTGAGTATTTGGATACTTCTGTGAGATTAGTATATGAAATTAAAAAGAGAACTTGTACGTTGTACTCTCTCCCAGTGTTTATAGTTGTGAAAGAAACACTTTATGCCTAATGTTGTCGAACTGTGAATCTTCTTGAGTTCTATTCTGCACAAGGAAACTTCAGTGATTTATTCTTTTTCGAACTCAAACACTCGATGTCAAGATTGTGTATGTCTTGCCAGTTAGGGTGAACACCATTTCTTTACCATTTTTTCCTCCATAGGTAAGTATTGAGCATATTGTGAATTTGCAGGTATAAGGGAAGAGGTCATTTTTTAGATCCGCCAACAGTTGCCATGTGTGATGGTGTCTGGAAACTTAGCCTTCCTCAGGAGATTGAAACTCAAAAACCCAATATTGAAGATTTGAGTAAGTGAAGCATAACTTGTGATGTTATTCTTATTCCAATTTCAATACTACAACAATTGGTTTCTTCTTCAGCTTTCAGTTTGCGTGAGAACATATTCAAGGAAAGTCGTGACAATTCAAATCTTTCTGAGATATATCATTCGTATATACGGCAAGCATTACAGCTACTTATGGACTCAAGCGGATCTACTCAGACTGGGGCATTGATTATAGAACCAGGCACGACTTTATCCATAAGCACAAGTTTATTTTTGGTCCTCTTTTTCCCCACCATTTTTCTTTCCTAATTACGTATGCTCATGGTTCATGCATACGTAATTCTAGAGGCATTTACTTTTTTCGATTCTTTCTCTTCCATACTCTTTATTGTATATATATGATTTGCCCTTCCCGCCTCACCTATTAGTTGATGAGCCAGTTGGAGGCCAAACAGAATGAGGAATGTTATAACCCCCCTGGAAGTGAGGGAATTATTATGAGACAACAAAATTTTCTAATTCATGGAATTTTGTGTTATTATGAGATATATCTTAAATAATATATTACACGGACTCTTCAAAATCGTTGCCGCACCCGTGTCGACATGGCATAGGTGTGGGTGTAGGATCCGTATCGGATTTGGTCAACTTACCTTGGGTACTTTGACAACATTCTGTGATAGAGAATATAGATTGATTGGGTATTTGGTTTGATTTTTTGGGTTGTGTCATTATATATATATATATATAAAAAAAATAATATAGTTATATAAAGAATGAGAATGATTTTCTATTATGCGAGATATCTTATGAATAAAATATTGGTGTTTATAAAGAATAAAGTTGTATTAGTTGTAGTTTAATCACTTTAACTAATAGAGATATATACTTTATATGTTGTAATATACATTTATTGGTTGTATCCCAGCCCCCTATCCTCAGTCAGATCCATACCCTCCAATCCTAAATTTATGTGATGAAGTATCCGACCTCTAGAGATATGATTNCACTCAAGATTTTTCTTCCAGGATTGATAGATTCCTCATCTCCACAAGTTGGAATGATGAATTCAGGAGTATTAAGCAGTCTATCCAACAGAGGGTAGATTCAGATCATTTTCCTCTCTCCTTGCAATGTGGTGACTGGGAATACAACAAATCGTATTTCAAGTTTGAAAACTGGTGGCTAGGTGTAGAGGGTTTTAATGATCAAGTGAAGACATGGTGGGATTCTTTTGTAATTGTAGGTAGACAAGATTACAACTTGGCAAGCAAATTGAAAGCTCTGAAAGGAAAATTAAAGGAATGGAATCTAACTAAGCATGGGAATCTGGAGGCCACCAAGTACAATATCCTTAACCAGATCTCAGAGTTGGACATAATTCAGGAGCAGAGAAATTTGAATGACGAGGAAAGTTTTACTGAAAGCAAATCTATTCATGGCATTTGAAGAGGTTGCAAAAATGAGGAGATAGCTTGGAGACAAAGGTCCAGAGCCTTGTGGTTGAAAGAGGGTGACAAAAATACTAAAGAAGTGGTCGGATACTCTAACAGGAATATGATTGGTCTCAAATTTGGAACATATTCCTAGCTCTAACAGGGATACACTGGGTCATGCCAAATAGCACCAAGGACCTGCTGTCATGCTGGAATAAGGTGAGAAGAAGTGCAAGTGAGAAGAATAGTTGGGATCTGATTCCTGCCTTCATATGGTGGACTATCTGGAAAGAGAGAATTTCAAGATGTTTTGAAGACAATGCCAGCTCAATTCAGAAGATAAAAATGAACTGCCTACCATTATTTCATTTTTGGTTTAAACAAGAATACACAGTGGACACAGTAGCTTTAATAGATGTTCTAGGGACTCTGTAAGAAGATAGGAATTTTTGTTGTATATTTTGGTCCATTTCTCTGTAATTATGGCCAACACAGCCTTTGTGCTTCTGAATATAAAAATTGTTACCATCTCAAAAAAAAAGTATCCGACCTCTAGATCTGCACCCGGACCCGAGTTCGAGCAACATAGGTGTATGATATTCTTAGTGACTTTCTTGAATGTCAATTAATGACATAATTATTGAGTTTATTCCACACTATTCGTAATGATTCTTTTACTTTCTATGACGATTCCTTTTACTTGCAATTATTTACAGTGATACAAGGTGCTGGAGGAATGGAAATGGTCGATCCACTATTTCAGAGAGTACTTGTTAAAGAATGCAGAAGTCAAAAGATTCCTGTTATTTTCGATGAGGTTTTTACGGGATTCTGGCGTCTGGGAGCAGAGGTTTGTTTGCTAAATCACTTTGCGGTTCTTGCCAGATTACTTGATGTATCATTTCTCTGGTTGAGGAATTTCATTTTGTATCTTTTGCTTTTTCAGTCTGCCACGGAGTTTATCTTCTGTAAGCCAGATATAGCCTGCTATGCCAAGTTGATGACTGGTGGCATTGTGCCCTTGGCTGTCACTTTAGCATCAGAAGCTGTATTTGAAGCATTTGTTGGAGATTCAAAGGTATATCCATCAGTGTTTACTGTCTATATGTCACGTATTCCTTTTGTTCTAATAGGCTTGTCAAGTATTTGCTTTTCATGAGCAAAAACCATCAGTGGTTAAGCCCAATTCAAGCTCTCAAACAAAACTAAGATCATATGATTGGTGGTGTAACCTCATTCCTTTGCTTCAGCTCCAGGCTCTCTTGCATGGTCACTCTTACACTGCACATGCAATTGGTTGTACCGCAGCTGTAAAGTCAATCAAATGGTTTAAGGACTCCAAAACAAATCCTAATTTGACATCTGAAGCCGTGATGCTCAGGGAGGTATGTGAAAATTCAGTGAGTGATAAATATTTTTGTACTTTAGTCACTGGGATTATGCACATTGTTGATAGAACGATAATTAAGTATTCATTCACTTGCTGTTCCCTAAAACAGTTTCACTTGTGAAAATTTCCTAATAACAGTTTTCTTCTCTCCTAGGCTGTTTTGAGGGAAACATGTAAATATCCTTGTTTCTGTCTATTCAGCACAATGTCCTTAGATGAATAAAAACCTCTTTGCACAAATAATTGGAGCCATCAAAGCTGAGAAAGCATACTAGTCCAGAATATTAGTAGCATACATTATAGCACCAAGTGTGACTTTGATTGACTTTAAAAATCGCCATATAGGTTTCACCATGTTACACGGATCCTTCATATGCCATGACGTACCTGTATCATCTGGGCTTGATAAGGTGTGGGTACTCCGTGCAGATTCTTCATAAAAACACACAAATATTTAGCAAGAAACCTGATGTACCCATACTGGATACTTCCATACAACTGTACTAGAAAGTATCCAGTCATCACATTCATCCAATTTCTACTATTATCCACCGATTAAATTTGAACAAAAAATGAGGAAAGATAGTACAGTTGCACTAGGTGACCTTGTAAATAATTTGTAAGGGACCTGTTATAAAGGATGAATTCCCAACATCTTGCTTTTGATCATGTTGCTTGTTCTCCCACTCTCCTTTCCATCATTTCTTCGGTGTTTGCAGCTGTGGGATTCAGACTTGGTGAGACAGATTTCCTTACTTCCAGCAGTGCATAGAGTGGTTGTGTTGGGGACTCTATGTGCATTGGAACTTCGAGCAGAAGGCTCTAACGCGGGGTATGCGGTCTGTTGTTTTCTCGTAAATTAATAGTTCTGACTTCTGTATTAGTTCTCATTGACAATGCACCAATTATTTACATGTAAAATCTTAATGCTTACCTTAAATACCATATTAAAGTGCAGAATCTCTGGTAGACATGTTAGGCTTTTTGTAATTAGGTAGATCAAGATTGGTCTACTATATTCCCTGTACATGTGGTTATGCACTGCCTCAGTGCATTTTTAGTAATACAAATGTTACCATTCTCAAAAAAAAAAACACATATGAAAGCTGTAATAAAGAGCTCCACTTAATTAAGGAGCTAATTTTCCTTTTTTGTGAGCTCAATTATAATATCCTTGTACTGTATTTTTGCATTGACTTGATGCTAGGCAATGAAACTTTTGCTTCATTAAAAAACATAAAATAAAGAGCTCCTCCTAAGAATCATATATAAGCTTATTTCATGAATTCAACCAGGTATAAGAGTGCTTTTTGACGTGTAATTCATTGGACAATAGCCGGCAAAACTTACATGTGGGACTTCTTTTCCTTTTAACCCTGAAGTACCCAAAGGATTAAGGCCCCATTTGGACAACATTTGGTTGAAGGAAAAAACGAGTATTTGAAGTTGCAAAAGAGTATTTGGAGAGTTTGTCTTTGGACTTGAATTCATTTAAAAAAATATAAATTGAAGTTCTGGGAGTGAAAACATCACTTAAAATTCTCCTCAAACTAGTTTTTCAACTTCAAATTCTCTATTTCAAGTTGAACAAAGTTAACACTGATTTGCAAATTTTATTTCTGTTCAAACATCTTTGCAGATAATATTTTGGCTTGTTCTTATCTCCAAGTCTTCATTCCGTGTTTCCAATTTTGATACTTCTGAAGCTCATTTTTTCTCAAAACATGCAGGTATGCTTCACTGTATGCCAGATCTCTCATTCAGAAGCTCCGTGAAGATGGCATCTATATGAGGCCTCTTGGCAATGTCATTTATCTCATGTGTGGGCCTTGTACATCTCCTGAGAGTTGCAGCAACTTACTAAACAAGGTGTATAGAAGACTTGAAGAGCTCTAAACCAGTGAATCTACGTCAAGACTAGATGGTAATCCTTCTGCTGTCTTTAATGGTTTACTAGCCATCTTGAAATCTATTCAGCCTGCTTCTTGCCTTCTAGACCCTGTAACTTGGAGCTCAGGATTACAAATTGTCACTCCTTTTCTTCTTGTTCTTAGTCTTTTTTCATAAGCTAGAGTGAAACATATCAATAAAAAAATAAAAGCAGGATCCATTCTGGCGCGATCTTTCAATCAACTCCTAAAAATAGAAAACGTATGCAGCAAAGAACTAAAAAGGCCCGAAAGCCCTAATTATTACCGAAACAAATAGAGAATGTTGACTGAAAAAAGTCTTCTTTCGGATTTAGCATTCTTTGCCTCTCCGACCAGGGGGAAGACTAACTTAGCCATACCCGGCATAACTACCACTTGTTGATTGTTTTGTTTCACCTAGACCTAGAGTTTTGACTTCTTATTGTCAGTAGAAATCTAGAAATCTGAGAATTTGATTGGACATCCTCCTTTTATAATAACCTATTACAGCTCTACATTTTTAAACATAAAGTGAACTTTACAGAGAAGCCAATCTAAGAAAATTTTTCTTCTACCAAAAGGGCATCTCACCAAACATATTAATCTGCGTAGGATTGATAGGAAATGGAGGAAATTCACCAAGTCTTTGAATAAATTCGCTCATTCCGAAACCACTCAAAAACCCATTTCACGAATTTTCAACGCCTCGAAGGAAACTTGTTTTTTGTCGTATCATTTTTCGTTCAAATGAACCGCATTGGTGTAAGGATTTGATTCAGACTTTTCAGTATTTAGTTATCACTTATCTGCCATTTGTGGCCTTTGCATTCAAGGTCTATCTGCCGTTTCTCCTCTTCCTTACTGTTCCATCTATATTGTCTCCTGATACAACAAAACACACAAAACCATATTGTTTCTGAATCATGACATCTTGTTAGCTGCTTCAGTAGAAATTTTTTGACCTGAAATATTGTAGATTAGAGAAGAGGCATTCAAATGTACTAGTTCACATATCACCCTACTTCTGTGCGGAAGGAGATTAGACACTGCAGGTTAAAATCAAAACTTGTGTTATTATTTTCTTTCTTTTTTAACTTTAAAAACATATTTTGGCTTTGTCGCAGGCTTGTGGCAAAAACTGTGAAGTTCAATGTGTTGAAGGTGGGGAAAAGAAAGCATTTTACAGGACTAGAGCTTAGTGTCTGTAATTTTGTAGTTACATTCAGAGATTAGAATTATGATGAGAACTATACTTGACACCAACCAACTCTGAATTTTAAGGATTTCTTTATTTCCAGCATCGCATATTAAATTAACTTCAATTATGCAACAAAACTAATAACTTGTGCCATATGTAAAGGAAAAAACAATCATCTACAGATTTCTGTCAAGGGACACCAGGCTCAAATATATAATAAATTTACGACTAGGAAAAAATAATATCGCCATAACTCATGCTTCCATATATTATATAATAACCGAAAAAATGTGTGTATGTCATATACAAATTTTATACACTTTTTCGGATACTGAATGTAAATAGTTTCTGGGGGCTAAATGTGATAATGCTCCTATATTATAACTCAAGAGATATTACACTACTAATAGCTGTATAATTAACACGAATATACAGAAACCACCAACAATATCCCTCAAAGAAACAGACTAAGAAACACCCCTAAACATGCACCAAAGGCCAAGAAATACATAGCTGAAGAAACCATCCTAAACTACTCTAACTGATCTGCTGAAGATCTGTTTGATGGGAAGATATTCACCAATTTCAGTATATTATATTTTCTGCTGAGGACATGGCCCTTGATAGGGAATTATGGAGGTCGAGCATTAAGGTTGTAGGTTAGGGGAGAGTGTGAATATTTCTACAGCACAATAGAGTGAGACTATCCAGTTAGGAGTTAGACTAGGAATGTCATTGGTCGTCTATTGATGCAGGGCTTTACCTTCTAGTTGTACTATACCAACCATCTATTTCGTATTTCGTATTTCGTATTTCGTATTCTGTATTTCATATCTCTTATATATTGTTGTTATTTTTATTATGCATTTTTATGGTACTAATATATCATCTCCTATTGTTTTTTTGAGCCGAGGGTCTCCTGGAAACAGCCTCTCTACCCTTAGGGGTAGGGGTAAGGTTTGCGTACATATTACCCTCCCCAGACCTCACTTGTGGGATTATACTGGGTCGTCATTGTTGTTGTTGTTGTATATTTTCTACAGAGCTAAACTACACTATCTACTAAATAACACATGATATACTCAGTACCCTTCGTCTCGACGTATCACATGAATCATGATAAGTTTCAAACAGTCCCAGGTAAAAATGCTCGTCCTGGTTCTCTGGCAGCTAAAGGTCCATGGCACCCAAGAAGCTGCAAGACAACAAGTACGGAATCAGCTATATCTACCCAAGAATTATTTCATGTTATTTAAGTCTTTAGGAAATCAGACATGCCTAAAGCTAAAAAAGCCAAGGACATATATAGTAACCATCGGTGAGACACAAATATGATCCCAGACAAGGTACAAACACAAAATTATGTAGCTAACTTGAGATGTTGGTTTAAAATTCTGTATACCAATAACAGAACTGAACGTCGAACCTTAGCGTTGACGCCGTCCGGCACGATCCTTTTCTCGGCTTTCCATTTCAGGTAATCGGTACGTTTGAAAGATGTGAACCCCCTGAAATCCAAGAGAATGTGTATTAATATAAGCACCATATCAATAAGAATACATACTAAAAAGGAGAAGAGTGCCTAGATTTTTCATAATTATGTCTCTTCTCGGAGTCCTTAATACAAAGCTTCAAATTGGAAAATTTTGATACTTTACACAGACTATGCTGTTGCAATTGCGGTAGAAGACTAAGAAAAACATGAAATACAGCTACCGAGATAAAGGCAGCTCAGTGCACTAAGCTCCCGCTATGCGCGGGGTCCAGGGAAGGGCTGGACCAAAGGGTCTATTATATGCAGTCTTACCCTACATTTCTGTAAAAGACATGATTAGATATTGAATGCCAATAGTTGTTCTACGACTAACTATAGTCGTTCCACGAGTACATCACGAGGAACACAGCTTAAACGAAGTTGAAATGCTATATATAGATAGTATGAAGTCGATACTAACGCAGCCAATCGAATAAGCAAAACTACAAAAAAGCTAATTTCTTTATGAAACATATAAGTGAGAGCCTGCTAAATTAGACAACCATATGCAACAATATAAGAAAGATCAGAAACATATAAAGCAATACCATTTACTGCTAACAATAATTTTCTGCCGACCAGGAAACTTGAACTTTGCACGACGTAAAGCTTCTTGAGCGTGATGACTGTTTGAATCCCTGCACCTAACAGAAAGCAGAACCTGGCCTCCAGCACAGGACAACATTTTGTTTATGCGCAGAACATGGTAAACAACCTCCGCTTCCAACCAAGAGGTTGTGAGTTCGAGTCTCCCCAAGAGCAAGGTGGGAAGTTCTTGGAGGGAAGAATGTCGGGGGTCTATTTGGAAACAACCTCTCTACCCCAGGGTAGGGGTAAGGTCTGCGTACACACTACCCTCCCCAGACCCCAGTAAGTGGGATTATACTGGGTTGTTGTTGTTGTTGTTGCAGAACATGGTAAGGATGAGCTCTGACCCTAAGGTGAAAAGCATCCTTTCCTGCATTCTTTGACATGTACTTATTGCACGCGATACGTGCAGCTTCCAATGCCTCACTAGACACATTTTCTTTCTTCCAACTGACCAAATGAACACAACAAGGAAACTCATCGACCCCCTTTTTCTTCATACCAACGTCGTAAATCCTGATCTTAGGATCAGGCACACCACGACAATACCGCGATTTTGGATAGGGCTTTCCCTTTATTTGACGATAACACCTAGCAGGTCCTACAACCAAAAAAACAAATCCAGTGACCGTGCAAGGAACCATTATACAACACAGGGGCGAAGCCACATGCTTGAAAGGGTGGTCAACTGACCACCCTTCGTCGGAAAATTATACTGAGTATATAGGTAAAATATTAGTTTTTATAGGTATATAACATATATTGAATACTCTTTGTCGGATTTTTTTTTCATTTGAACACCCTTGAAAAAAATTCTGGCATCGCCACTGATACAACATATCAAAAATTTTAAATTTCACCTTGCCACAGGCAAATTGTTTGCTTCAACTTAAATTTTGAAGTGAACTATTCCCATTTTCATTATGTTAAAGGTCAAAAGTGCAAGTTTATAGCAAAAAGTATATTGCTAACATTTATTCCCTTATCAATATCTCCGGAGTCTAATCCACAAAAAGTAAATACTTACGTAATAAAAATAGGCATGTGATGCACTAGACAATAGATTTTCAGTAGAAACATTCTTGATTAGAGTTATGCAGAATCCCAGAGATAAAACCAAGAAGAAAAGCAAAACTTGATAGCAAAGATAAAGTAAGAGCACAGAAAAAACCAAAAGAATTTTTTTTTTAAAAAAGTTCATCCATGTATTCTTTTCCAACTTTTCAAATCGAAACTTGACTAGTAGATAACAGCATAAAAGAAAAGAAAAACATATAGTAAGTCGTATTTGAGCATTGCGTTTTGTAAGTAGTATTTAATGATTTACTGATTGGGATTATAAGAGGCATGTAAAAATTCCAATTTATAAGTCGCATATGATGATTTCGATTATACATCTATGGATTTATAAGTGACGAGATACCTAATAAATAGGAAGTGATGCACTACTCAATAGATAAACATTCTTGAATACAGTTATTCAGAATCAATGAGACAAAAAGAATTAAAAAATAAAAAATAAAACCAAAGCTCCTCCTCTTTTAACCCAAGAAAATGCAAATTCCCCACCCAAAAAAATATATTAATATCCTTCTCCATCTTCAAAAATCCAAACTTGACAACTAGATATTACTAGCATAAAAAGAAAAAGAAAAAAAGACACTACAAAAGTTCCTAATCCCAGTTTTAATAGAAGAAAATAAAATATTTCAGACATACATAATATAGGCATTACTGAACAGAAAAGAGGTTTAGAAAACTTTACTTCTTCCCATGGCAGAGTATTGTTACGTTTGTTGTTTCTTCAACTTCCAGCAATAAGCTAAAGCTCATATATAAACAAGAAAACAAAATGAAATTGTTGAATATATCCCATATTTATTATTATTTCTTCCACCGCCTTTTTTAACATTCTGTTGTATTTATCAGTTTTTGTTTAGAACCTTACAAGGTAAAAGATAAATAGTATTTTTAGCAAAAAAAAAGAAGAAGATAAATAGTGTTATAAAATAAAGATCGTAGAGTAAACACTAGTATAGAGAGAAACTGATATATTATTCGAATTCAAAGTGATGTACATAATGAACTGAAATCTCTTCTATTTATAGAAAAAAGGGAGCTGCTGTGTAAGCTGCTACTGCAAGCTGCTGTGTAAGCTGCTATTATATCAGATATGGATAATCTTCTACTAAAAGGAATGTTTATCCATAACGGAGTACTGAATGAATAAGCTTATTATACCCGATATGGATAATCTTCTACCGGGGGTAATATTTATCCATAATCGGGTACCGAAGTGATAAGCTTTTTCAGGAAGCTTATTTCCAATAGAGTACTAAATAGATAAACATATTTACCGCGGAATCTCATATGGATAAGCTTCTTCAGGAAGTTTATTTATAACAGAGTACTAAATGAACATCTATAATATAATATATTTATAACAAATAGTAATAATATTCTACTTATTGGAAGAGGGAATAGCAGAGAGCTCTCCGTCAACATGCTTGCTTCCTCACGAGGGTAAATTGGTCATTTAATGCGTTATTATGCTTAAATTGTCTATTGTGCTTAACCTTAATCGCTGACTCTTACTGCTGCTGGCCAACGCGTGGACATCCATTTTTGATATATGTCTAACTTAACTGAGTGTTATCTGTAGAACACTATATGAAAGTTCCTGAATCTCTCTGGCGACTTCTTCGACCATTTCTGCTTTCTCTTATTTTACTGGGTTTTCAGCTTCAAGGAGTTATTTACTGGTGTGTTTCTCCACTGCTGCTTCTTTCCATATTTGATAACATGTTTAAAACTTAGTGCTCTCCCCGTCAACATGCTTGCTGCCTCACGAGAGTAAATTGGTCATTTCATGCGTTATTATGCTTAAATTGTCTATTGTGTTGAACCTTGTCGCTGACTCATGTTGCTGCTGGCCAACACGTGGACACCTATTTTTGATATCTGTCTAACTTAACTGAGTGTTATCTGTAGAACACTATATGAAAGTTCCTGAATCTCTCTGGCGACTTCTTCGACCATTTCTGCTTTCTCTTATTTTATTAGGTTTTCAGCTTCAAGGAGTTATTTACTGGTGTGTTTCTCCACTGCTGCTTCTTTCATGTTTGATAACATGTTTAAAACTTAGTGCTCTCTCCGTCAACATGCTTGCTTCCTCACGAGGGTAAATTGGTCATTTCATGCGTTATTATGCTTAAATTGTCTATTGCGTTGAACCTTAATCGCTGACTCTTGCTGCTGCTGGCCAACATGTGGATACCCATTTTTGATATCTGTCTAACTTAACTGTGTGTTATCTGTAGAACACTATATGAAAGTTCCCGAATCTCTCTGGCGACTTCTTCGACCATCTCTGTTTTCTCTCATTTTACTGGATTTTCAGCTTTAAGGAGTTATTTACTGGTGTGTTTCTCCACTGCTTCTTCTTTCATGTTTGATAACATGTTTAAAACTTAGTGTCATATTTCTAATAGTACTAATTTGTCAACCTCCTAAAATATGAACCTTCTGTTGAAAGGTGTTCCACTGTAATTGTCACACCTCCTTTTTACACACCCAGAAGGGTATAAGGAAGTTTTTTCCAACTTAAAGTGACAATGGACATGGGATTTATTTAAAGATTCAGAGTTGCCACTTGGGATAATTTAGGGTGTCCCAAGTCACCGGTTTCAAATCCCGAATCGAGGAAAGATTGACTCTGTTTTACAGTCCACGAACACAGAAATCCAGGTAAGGAATTCCGTTTACCCGGGAGAAGGTGTTAGGCATTCCCGGATTCCGTGGTTCTAGCACGGTCGCTCAACTGTTATAATTGGCCTATTGTCTGTTTCTAGAACATATTTTAGCCTATGGTTCAATTTTAACTTATTAGCCGCTTTTAATTATTTTTAAGGAAGATTGTAACGTCATTTAAAACACGTCTTGAACCACGTCACATAAATGCACCCGCGGTCCACGACACATTTATCTAACGTTGTTGAGATTTATATTTGGGTCACATAAATGCACACCCGAGTTTAAGAAGATTAATTATTAAAATAACGCGCCTAAAGCAACTACGCACTTTCAACTTTGCGAGGGCCATGGAAAATTCAACTAAATGGTGCGCCTCAATTTCTAAGGATTCAAATTAATTAAGTGAGGGCCATGCATTTGAGATTTTATTTGGCACGGCTCACCTCGACTAATCTATTAAAAGATTGCTAAAATTAGTTTTGGAGGGCAATAAGCTATTTGTATTATCTAATATGGCTCATCTCCACTAACTAATGGGCCTAATTAATTTATTAAAGACTAAAGGAAACTTCTACTTTATTCTAAAGAGAGATGCTCAAGCTCAAATAATGATCGAAGGATTTGCGCTTAAAAAGGATCCAATTATTCCGAGGACGATTTAGGACAACAACAGTCTCCAATTGAAGTAACTGATTCGGAAAGGACAACGGGCTTACGCACGACAAACATAAACCAAGTCCTATTAGCAATGGTCCTCTGACTTGGGCCTGAAACGAGCCCGAATTTGGGCAGGAATGGACTCGAGTTCGAGTCTGGATGGTGCCAAATCAATTTGGGCATCAAGAGGCCCTGGGCTCCAAATGGCCATTCTAACGTATAAGCTCTCAGTACTTTACTTAGTTTCAGTAGTGAACAAGCAAGCCATCAATTATTGAGAATATCCAAGTACATAAAATTTAAATACCATTCAATTGAACATTTTGAGAGCTGCTGTTATAATTCCATACACGAGCAAATTATTCAATAACCTACACATTAGCATGATTCCCAATTCAGTATACGTGTATCAGCATATGCTCCTCTCTATTCCATTTCCCCCACCTTAAATCCTCATTCCAAATGACTTTAAATCAACAGTTATCTTTTAAAATAAAACATTCAGCTACTTCTCATAACATCTTGCCTCTAATATAGCTCAATCTATAGACAATATTCATATAGTAACATGAAATCATGGACAAAGCACTATGTTACAACATTTAAGTGAGTTGCAAAGAAGTAAGAGATCTAATACAACATACTCTAGCTAATATGCTTAACATAAAATCTAGCTAATGATCAAATTTCCATCAAGTTTCCTTTCTTAACAGTTCAAAATTAGCTACAATAACAAGGACTCAAAAACAACATCTAGCTATGAGTACTTTGCTAGAAACTAACTTCATACCAGATGCAAACTAGCTAAAGCTCTTGTAATGAACATACAACGCATCAATTAAGTTCAAAACCATATAGCTTATAAAGACTGAAACTAAACTAATGAATCCGAGCATGTTGAGGCCATGTTTTAAACTCAAGATTTCATTTAACACTTCAAGTCAAACATCATATGAGGTGAATTCAGAAACATGTACCTGGAAATAAGCAGAAACAAAAAGAAATGAGGAAGCAGTAATCAACAGCAACAAAATCCAATTTTGATCCTCAGCAATGGAACAGTAACCCCAGAAACCAAACAGCTTCCAACCAGATTTTCCAACCCCAAAAACTTAAGCCATTCCTTCCCAGATAAGAATTTGTGATTTTCAGAAGTTAAAGCTAAGCAAGAAGGCTAGGAGACCAGAATAAAAACTCAACTTTTGAGCAGTTTTCGACTAAAGAAAGCAAAGAATTCAGTGTTCTTGTTTTAGCTGGCCATCTTTGTTTTCAGGATTTTTTATCTCTTATTTTTTTCTCTTCCTTGAACCTCAAGTAAGGATGCCTTTATAGGCAAGGTTCTAGGGTAGCCTAAAGGGATCAATTTTTGCATTTAAAACCTTTTCCAATTCTGGTTTTTGCTCAAGTATCCTTAATTTAGAATCAGATTTTCAGAGAAGACCCCTCCCCAGCTTCTAGGGAGCTTCCTATTCAGTTAACAAATATATTCCCTAGCCTAAATCCCCAAATTAACCCTCAATACCCCTGTTTTTTACAGCAGGAAACCAAATGGGTCAATGCTGACCCAGTGTCCAAGTTCTAAAACTGGGCCTGTCAACCCGGCTTAATCCTCCCCTCTTGGACTTCTGATTTTTAGGCCCAATTAAATTCAATCAGAGATTCACAATTTTAAAAACTGATCAAAATTTCCCAAAATAAAACCCGAAAAACCTTTTAAAATGCAATCAAAACAAAGAAAAGGGTGAATAAACTAATTAACCTAAACACATAGCAGGAAATTAACTAAGTTATAGGCCTAATTAAATTAATTAGGTGATTAAACAGAAAGACAAAACCAAAAAATTAGCCATACTATTAACCAAATTTAACGGACTAAAGAAGTCCGAGAATATGCTTTCACAAAGAAGAGAAAAAGAAAGAAGAAAAGGGACAAAATAATGAACGGAAAACAAATTTGAACTCAGAAGGTTAATCGAATTTCAGCCAGATTATTATAAGAAAACTAGGCTAAAGACAAGGGAAGGAGGAGGATAATAAGACAGTGAAAGAAAGAAAAATACAAGAGGGGGGAAATAACTTACCAAATCAAAACTCGAAATCAGATGGAGACAAAGGACCTAACAGAACTAATGTCGATCAATTGTTCTTTGTCAAGAACAAACTAAACGACATCAGTCTTGTTGAACCCAAACTTTAAATTTTGAAGGAACAATGCCCTATGACCATGCATGCTCCCAGGTTCAATGGAAAATGACTTTTGGACTTTTAGGGCTCGACCTCGGATTCAAGATTCGCGGAGCTCCGGGCAGATTCAAAGGAAATTAGTTGTGGATTTGGTATGAGGGGATCATGGGGGTGTAGGGTGTTAATTTGGGGGTGACTGGAGGTGGTGCCGCCAGGCTCGAGGTGGGGAAATGGAGGC